AAGAAAGCCAGACACAAAAGACCATATATTATATGATTCTGTTTATATAAAAGATCCAGAATAGGCAAATCCACAGAGACTAAAAGTAGATTAGTAGCTGGAAGAGGCTGATATTAGGATCTGGGGGAATGGTGACTGACTGCTGATGGGCACGGGGTTTCTTTTTGGCATGATGAAAATGTTCTGGGATTAGATGGTAATTGATGTACAACTCTGTGAACATACAACAAAACTACTGAACTGTATACTTCTAAACAGTAAAGTTTAGAGTATGCAAATTATATCTCAACAGAGCTGTTTTTTTTTAAATCACCAGGAAAAACCAACAGCCTGACAAATCAAAGGGATGGAACAGCACGTTCATAGCCAGAACCAGGAGTAATATGGTATTTCGTCTGCGATGCAGTATTTTAAAGCAGTGAAGGAAGGATAGATTAGCCAAGAAAAGGTTTGAGTACAAGGGGTTAATCATATGGGACAAATAAAGTTAGGTTTTTAAAATTTTATTTATTTATTTTATTTTTTAATAGAGACGGGGTTTGTCCATGTTTGTCAGGCTGGTCTCGAACTCCTGACCTCAGGTGATCTGCCCACCTTGGCCTCCCAAATTGCTGGGATTACAGGCATGAGCCACCGAGCCCAGTAAAGTTCGGTTTTAAGAAAATTCCTACCTCTTCCATCTCCTAGCTGGTGGTCTATAAAAGTCCCTTTATTTCTCAGAGCCTCTTTTTCCGTATCTGTAAAATGGGCATACTATTCCTGATCTGAACAATCTGTGCAAATATTCAGTGAGACACTGGCAGCCTGCTCTCTGGTAGCCACTCAGTCAGCAGGGTTGCTGCTTTTACAACACAGCAAGGTCCAAGTCCTAGGTTTTTGTTTTTGGCTTTTTTTTTTGAGACAAAATCTTGCTCTGTCAACCAGGTTGGAGTGCAGTGGTGTGATCTCGGCTCACTACAACCTCCACCTCCCAGGTTCAAGTGGTTCTCCTGCCTCAGCCTCTGGAGTAGCTGGGATTACAGGTGCCTGCCACCATGCCCAGCTAATTTTTCTATTTTTAGTAAAGATGGGGTTTCACCATGTTGGCCAAACTGGTCTTGAACTCCTGGCCTCAAGTGATCCACCCACCTTGGCCTCCCAAGGTGCTGGGATTACAGGTGTGAACCATTACATCCAGCCTCCTAATTTGTTCTTTAGTAACTGTATGACCTTAGGCAAATGTCTTCACCTCTCTGTGCCTCACCTTTCTCATCTCCAGCATTAGCATAACCACACCTACCCTATATTATTACTGGAAACCTTCGCCTTCCTCTTTCTTTTTTTTTAGACAGAGTCTTGCTCTGTCACCCAGGCATGATCAGTGCAGTGGCATGATCTCGGCTCACAGCAACCTCTGCCTACCAGGATCAAGGGATTCTCTTGCCACAGCCTCCTAAGTAGCTGAGACTACAGGCGTATGCCACCATGCCCAGCAATTTTTCAAGAAAATGGGGTAATAATAACACCTTTCTTAGGGTTGTGGTAGAACAAGCAGTTTTTTTGTATTTTTAGCAGAGAAGGGGTTTTGCCATGTTGGCCATGCTGGACTTGAACTCCTGACCTCAGGTGATCTATCCGCCTTGGCCTTTCAAAGTGTTGGGATTAGAGGTGTGAGCTACTGCTCCCGGCCTGTTATTGGAAACTTTCAGTGACTAAAGTGATGCCCAGTGCCTGGCACATGGGAAGCCCTAAGACAGTGGCAGCTGCCTTCATAGCAGACCCTGCATTGTAGAACCACAGCATCTTAGAAAGATCTGCAGATGCAAACTCACTTAATGTTGGAATCCCAGGACATCAGAACAGTAGAATCTTAGATAATACATGCTTAGAATCTTGGAATCACAGAGCCATAGAACTGTTGAAGTTTTAGAGCCAGAAGGACCACAGACCATCTGCCCCAGTGATTTGCAAGCCCATGGAAATTTTCAACTACTACTACCAATAATAACAACAAAAGCGGCATCAACAGCTAACACAGTTTAATACAGTAACTTATCTAGGTTCTACCACAACCCTAAGAAAGGTGTTATTATTACCCCATTTTCTAGATTGGGAAATAGAGACACAAAGAAAGAACTTGTATAAGTTCTTTCACAGGTAGTGAGCAGTAGAGTCAGGATCTGATCCCAGGCCAGCGTCCATGCTCAGATTCCTAAGCCCTACCAGAAATATTGATTCAGTGGTTCTGGCTAGGACCCATGAATCTGCATTTTAAGCTGCCCAGACAACTCAGATATCAGCTAGGGCTGAGAACCACTGGTGTAACCCAGAGGTGGCAATCTGGTGATCCTCAGGCCCCAGTCAGGCTACAGCCGGTATTTTTTTTTCGACCTTCACAGTGTTTTAAAACAGAGTTGGCCTAGCCCAATGGCTCATGCCTGTAATCCCAGCCCTTTGGGAAGCCAAGGTGGGTGGATTACTTGAGTCCAGGAGTTTGACATGAGCCTGGGCAACATGGTAAAACCTTGTCTCTACAAAAAATACAAAAATTAGCTAAGGGATGGGTGCAGTGGCTCACACCTGTAACCCCAGCACTTTGGGAGGCCGAGGCGGGCAGATCACCTATGTTCAGGAGTCCAAGACCAGCCTGGCCAACATGGTCAAACCCTGTCTCTACTAAAAATACAAAAAATTAGCCGGGCATGGTAACAGAAGCCTGTAATCCCAGCTACTTGGGAGGCTAAGGCAGGAGAATCATTTGAGCCCGGGAGGTGGAGGTTGCAGTGTGCCAAGACCACACCATTGTACTCCATCCTAGGCAACAAGAGTGAAACTCCATCTAAAAAAAAAAAAAAAACACACAAAAGTTAGCCAGGCATGGTCATGTGTGTGCACCTGTAGTCCCAGCTATTCAGTGGGCTGAGGCAGTGATGTGGGATTGGGATGATCGCTTGAGCCTGGGAGGTCAGGGCTGCAGTGAGCCTAGGTCACACCATGCACCCCAGCCTGATGACAGAATGAGACTGTCTCAGACAAATATATATTAATAAATGAAAAAACCAGAGTCAACATTTTAAAATCAGGTGATCTAAAAAATGTCTGGCTTCTTTTGAAAAATTTGGAAGATGTGGTTAGCACTATGTCCGTGTTCCCAAAGTACAAGAATTGGGTGGAGTTGAGTGGCAGCCTCTTCCTTTAAAGATGGCATACCCTTTCCAGAGAGTACAATCCTTAAGCATTTTGTTCCCTTTTTGAATGCTTTAGTTATTTAATTAGTAATTTGTAATCCCTGGTTTGGCCCAGCCGCTGTACTGTAATAAAAGAGAAACTGAGGCCTAGAGAAGGAAAGGGGCTCTGAGTGACACAGCAAGTCCAAGGCAGAAAAGAAGTAGACCTGTTTCCTGACTCAAAAGTCTCATAACAGTAACAACAGAGAACATTCTTTGGGCTTACTTTCTATGCATTACACACACAAGCTATGTGCTTTTCAAACATCAACGAACACTAACCACCACCCTTACTTAAGGAGGCACCATAATGAATCTCATTTTACAGATGAGAAAAACGAGGCATGGAGAAATCAAAGTCACTTGCTCAAGGTCACACACAGGAAGAAAGTACTGTACGGAGAATCATTCAACTCAACAACAGAGCCCGAGCCTGAGTCTTCAGCTGTGATCTCAGCCTTTGGAACACTCGAGTAACAAGGCAGAAAATAAATCCTGGTTCTATAACCTTTCGACTCCACTGTTTCAGAGCTCCTGTGGATTAGGGGGGGAGGCGGTGGAAGGCTCAGGCACAGATGGTGCTGACCCCACTTTCCCTGCAACATTCACAAACTCCTGATGAACCCTGAGTCCCTTGTGGCCACGACCAAGGAGGAGGGAAGAGGCAATGCCCTCACCTCCCTGTAAACTGTGGATAACTTGTGCCCTACTGGTGGGAAGGGATTCGGGAGAAACCTGGCGGGGAGCGAGGAGCGGAGTCGCTTCAGCACCAAGGACAGCGGCCGCGCTCCACGCCCCAAACCCGCTGTCTTTTTTGGGGGAGCGTTCCACCCTGCAAAGCTCCTCCAGGGTTCTCCGCCCACTGTTTCCCCAAGAGACTGAGGAAACTCAGGCCCGTGGTCTGCTTCACCTCAGGGCAACGTCAGGACTCAAGAATTCCAGATTCCTTTTAACGACGCCTTCTCTCCTGTCTTTGCCTCTAGGTAGACGTTAAGGAGCCCTCGCAAGGGGCCCTCCGGCCAGCCTAGGGGTTTTCGCCCCATTGCACGGAGTACGCAAGCACAGGGGAGTGGGGACGGGAGAGAAAATGGGAACCAGCCCCGCGTTCCCGTTCCCTTACCCACTTCCGGGTCCAGACCTCGCGGCCCGGGGCTTTGAGTCGTCATGGCAACCGGAGAGGCCCGGGAAGCGATTGGCCACTCCCTGCCACGCCCCTACGCCACCGCTTCCCCGTAACTGAGGCAACGGAGGGGCGCTACCCTCCCTCTTCCATTCCTTCCTAGAGAGGGCTGTGTAGAAGAGGGACCCACCTCCTCTCTCACTAATGAAACACCACCTCTACTCCCATACGCTAATTACGGAGGGAAGGAGGATGAGAGGCCATTTGTAATTACACTCGTCTGGATGTGGCTGAGCTGTCACTGAGGTAACTTCCGGTGATAACAGGAAGTGGGAGGCAGGTCGTTCAGAGAGACAATGGGATGAGGTGGAAGGGAGAAGAGGAACTAGAGAATCCTAGGAAGGAAGGATCAATCAGTAGGGGATCAGGCCACATTCTCCCAGATCTTCACTGCCTCTCTGAATCAAGCCCATTCCAAGTGGTCTGGAGTCTTTTCTATACTATTAGAGCTGACTCCCTAAGAATAATACTAACCACTGCCGTGTGGTCTCTGACTGATGAGGTTTTTATCAGCTTTGTCCCATTGAACCTCATAGTAATGCAGTGGTGTGGGAGGAATGTTTCTTCGTGAATGTCACCAGCTTTACAGTAACCCAGTCTCTGCCCCAGCTGACCTGCTTGGCTCTGTCGGGGTTCATCGTGGTTTGGGGTTGAAGGATGTTGACCACCTCAGGCTTGGTCATCGCTTGTGGGATTTCTCGGACCTTCTCGGCAATAAAGCTGTGCACAGCATTCAAGGCCTCTGCCGTGCCCTGTACTAGGCATACCCGCTCTGTGGTTCCTGTTGAGCAAGGGAGAGAGAGGGTGCACTCATCAGACAGGAATGGGGGCATTCCTGAGAGACAGGACCCATTTAATGGAAGGGTAAAGCTGAGGTCCAGAGAGTGGACCTGACTTATCACATGGTGAGCCTGGGGGAGTGGGCATGGGCTCCCAGGCCATGATGGGTAGCTGGGAGAATGAGTGGAATCCTGTTTTAAAATCTGCATTTCATCTCCCTCCCCTAAAACAACCTCTAGGGATGGAAGAATGATGCTTAAGTGTTTTGCGATGCCCACAGCAGCCCAGGGCAGGGGAGACAGGAGCCTCTTCTCAGTTCTTGCGGCTCCCCGGTTGCTTTGGCAACCATTCACTCACTACGCTCCCCTCCCCTTCTGGAAGCAGAGAGCTCAGGCCTGCAACGGTTGCCACAGTAACTGGAACCCCCTTATCGGTCTGGCTGGCCGGGTCCTCAGCCCACCCCCAGGGGGACGAGGGACGAGGCCCTGTTGTCATGGCAACCCCTGAAAGCCTGCAGCGTCGGCCTCTGGGCTTTTTGGAGAGGATGGGGAAGAGCTGGGGGATGGGGGAGGCAGAGGAGAGGCCTGAGTGACTGTCTGAGCCCACCAGATGGAGGGCTGAGGGGTGGGGGAGGGCAGGGGTGTGGACAGGGGAGAGCAGGGTGGGTCAAAGACTACTCTTGAAGGAGTAGGGACCAAGGAACTGGGGAGGGAGGTGGGTGGGTGTCTTTCCTGGAGATTCTCCAGATACTGGCTATGGCTCTGTCCTGGGCATCCTTCTCATTTCTGCATGAGTGTGTTGGGTAGGGGGGGATGGGGAAGAGAGAAACTGGGGGGTGTTGAGATATGTGTGTGGGAGAGACTCTGGGTGACACTGTGACTAGTGTGTGTCTGCGAGGCTGTTTGGTGAGTGGTGTGTGTGTGTGTGTGTGTGTGTGTGTGTGTGTATTTGGGCAGGACTGGCTAGATGATCCTAATCTGTGTTTGTAGAAGATAAAGTGCGAGACTGCCTTATAAACAGACCATGTAACACAGTGATTCCGGTGAAGATGTTTGTGTGTGCCCTTGTGTGTGGGACAGACTTTGGTGTCGCTTTGATGATCAAGCTTATGTAGACTCTTTGTCAGACAGAGCTGAGTGTGCGTGAGAGTTTGAGAGAAAGAAACAAAAGAATCTCACAAAGTGGCATTGAGGCTGCACAATAAATATATACCACTTTGAGACTGGATGGCAGTGTGTGTGTGTCTGCATCTGTGTGTGTACGTGTGTTTGTGAAAGTGAAAGAGGCGGACACACTTCTGGATGTTTCTAAGACTATTTGGATGATGTGTGTGCGTATGTATAGGAGACAGGCAAAATCCTAGGATTGGTGTGTGTGAACATGAGGAGAGAAAGAGACAGACAGGTAGACTCAGGTGTTGGACTGCCAGACTTTTAGGATGACTGATGTGTTTGTGTATGTGTGTGTCTGAGTGTGTGAATTAATTACAGTGAGAGACAAAGAAAACTTGACTAGTCTGTGTGAGAATGTGTATGCCTGAGTGAGCCAGGATATGTGTGATGTGTGGAGTGTGATTGTGTGTCTCTCTCTCCCTGAAGGGGATCCTGCCCCTGAGAAGGCAAAAGGTCTTGAGTGTGGTTGGGCACAGTGGCTCACGCCTGTAATCCCAGCACTTTTGGAGGCTGAGGTGGACAGATCACAAGGTCAAGAGATTGAGATCATCCTGGCCAACACGGTAAAACCCCGTCTCTACTAAAAATACAAAAATTAGCTGGGTGTGGTGGTGTGCACCTGCAGTCCCAGCTACTCAGGAGGCTGGGGCAGGAGAATTGCTTGAACCCGGGAGGCAGAGGTTGCAGTGAGCCAAGGTCGTGCCACTGCACTCCAGCCTGGTGACAGAGCAAGATTCCATCTCAAAAAAAAAGGGGGGGGTCTTGAGTGTGTGCTGCGTGCCTGTGTGTCTGGGATACCTAGGGTGTGTGTCAGTGTCCGGTGGCACTTCAGTGCAGCACGCCACCACCCTGACTCCTCGACTGCCGTTTCCCAGTCTGGCAGGCCAGCCTCGCCATGTGTCTGGGCGTCACTGTCTGTGGGTCACTTGTGTAGCTGACATCCCCCACCCGCTTTGGGTCATGTTCTTCACTCTTAATACCCCGCCACCCCAGAACAATGGCTTGGTCTCAGCCAAGGGTGAGTCAGCCTGCAGTCTGCCTCCATCTGGTGTAAATAGGAAAGGGTGTGGGTTGGGGTGGGAACTGGGAGGCGGGGTAGAGAGAGGTGGATGCCCCAGGAAGAGCTGGCCGAGGGTTTGCATCTCTGTGAAGCTTCCTTCCAACTCAGAAATCTTTGACCTCCCATCCCCTCGTAGTTCTTATAAGAGGACCCACAGGGACTTTGAGGGGGGGTTCGGTTAAGCCCCAAAAGTATCTAATATTAACAGCTGACCCTTATACAACCCAAGTGTCAGGTACCATTCTAAGTACTTTTTTATTTTTATTTTTCTGAGACAGGAGTCTCGGCTCTGTCACCCAGGCTGCAGGGCAGTGGTGCAATCTCAGATCACTGCAACCTCGGCTTCCCAGTTCGAGTGATTCTCCTGCTTCAGCCTCCTGAGTAGCTGGGATTACAGGGGTGTGCGCCACCACACCCGTCTAATTTTTGTATTTTTGGTATAGATGGGGTTTCACCATGTTGGCCAGGCTGGCCTCAAGTGATCCACCCATCTCGGCCTCCCAAAGTGTTGGGGTTACAGATGTGAGCCACCATGCCTGGCTAAAGCACTTTATATATATGTGTTCACTTCATATATGAAGTAGGCAATACTTCTACTTCATATAGTCCCTGATTCCCTGCTAAGGACACTGAAGCAAGAGAGGGCTCAAGGTTTGTTCAAGTTCACTCAGATGGTAGCGAATGTTCAGGGTTTTGAACCCAGGTGTCTGGCTTCAGAGCCTGTGCATTCTGCTAAATTTGGGGTGCAGGGAGTGATCAGCTCTATGTGTGTGTCTTGGAGGGACGCATAAAATGACAACAGTTTTGTTTTCGTATTTTTGATACTAAAAAAGAACATGTATGAATGTATTAAGTAGTCACTCAAGAGTTTGGACTTTGATACAAGTATGTTATAAATCTATAAACATGTTTTTAAAAGTGTGTGTGGTGGGGCACAGTGTCTCCTGCCTGCAATCCCATCACTTTGGGAAGCCGAGGTGGATGGAAGGCTTGAGCTCAGGAGTTCAAGACCCGCCTGGGCAACATAGCGAGACCCCATCTCTACAAAAAAAAAATATATATATATACAGGTCGGGCGTGGTGGCTCACCTCCCAGCACTTTGGGTGGCCAAGGTGGGTGGATCACCTGAGGTCAGGAGTTCGAGACCAGCATGGCTAACATGTCAAAACCCCGTCTCTACTAAAAATAAAAAAATTAGCCAGGCATGGTGACGGACACTGGTAATCCCAGCTACTCAGGAGGCTGAGGCAGGAGAATCGCTTGAACCCAAGAGATGGAGGTTGCAGTCAGCTGAGATTGCGCCATTGCACTTCAGCCTTGGCAATAAGAGTGAAACTCTGTCTCAAAAAACCCCCCAAAACAAAAAACAAACCCCCCAAAATTAGCCAGGCCTGGTGGTGCACACCTGTAGTTCCAGCCACTCAGGAGGCTGAGGTGGGAGAATCACCTGAGCCCAGAAGGTCGAGGTTGCAGCAAGCCACGATCATGCCACTGCACTCCAGCCTGGGCAACAGAGCACTCTGGCCTTGGTGACAGAGCAAGATCCTGTCCCAAAATAAATAAATAAAAATAAAAAGTGTGTGTGTGTCTGTGCTTTTCTTCAGCAGTTAGGGTCCAAAGCTTCATGCAGACGTTCAACATCAGAGGGTGTTTTCTATCCCTAGGCTGGCACACTGGAGTCTGTGTTGCCCTTGGCAAGGTACCTGCCTTTTTCTGCATCTTATATGCTCCATGTATGACCAGGATGGATTGAATCTAGGGCTTGGGGATCCATCACCAAGGAGGGGAGGCCCTCTGTGTGCTCTGCCCTTCCCTTGGGGCTAAGTGCCAGGTAGGTTTTTATTTCATGTAGTAGACACACAAGTGCAGTGTGTGTGTGTATGTGTGTGTAAGTGAATGTGTGTGTAGGTGTATGTGTGTGAATGTATGTTTGTGTGGGAGTGAGAGTGTGTATGTGTGAGCGTGTGTGTGTGTGTGAGTGGTGTGCCAATGTGTGTGAGTGTATGTGTGTGTGTGCCAGTGTGAGTGTGCGTGAGTGTCGTGTGTGAAAGTGTGTATGTGTGAGTGCGTGTGAGTGCGTGTGTGAGGATGTGTGTATCAAAGTGTGTGTGAATGTATGTGTGCATGTGAGTGCAAGTGTGTGTGATGTGTGTGAATGTATGTGAAAGTGTATATGAGTGTATGTGTGTGAGTGTGTGTATGTGTGTGTGTGCGTGCACGTGCATGTAAACCTACTATGCCCAGAGCACCCTTTCAGTTTCTCCATGGTCATTTCTCACATGTCCTCTCTGCTTTGGCTACATTGCCCACACTACCTAGTGGCCTCTGAGTCTGCTGTTTTGTCTTCCTGGAGCACACTTCTCTGCACTTTGCCTCGCTCATTCTTCCTTACTGCTCCAGTCATCTCTTCTAGGGAGCTCTTCCTGATCTCTCTGGGCTGGGTCCTTTGTGCTACCTGGGCTCCAGCCACCACCACCCTCTGGACTTCCCTGTCCCAGACCTGAGCACTCTGGGTCATCACTGGTGTGAGGTCGGCCTCCCTGACTGGGATGTGAGAACTGAGGAAGCAAGGCTGGGACATTTCAGCCACTGCTACTGTCCCCATCTCTGTCCAGCACAGGGCCGGCACAGAGGAAGTACTCAGGGAATGTGTGTTGAATGAATGAATGAATGGATGGATGGATGAAAGGGTGTCAAGCCAGGAGTGGAGGGAAATGTTTTTTGTCTCCTGCAGTAGCACTTCCATTCCCTGCATTCCTGTGGGGTCCCGGGAAGTCCTGGGGACAGGGCTAGGATGGAGGGGGCTGTGTCCTGTATCTCTGAGTCAGTTGCCAGCTCATGCTCTGTGATCTGGAAGTTCCACACCAGGAGTGGGGATGGGGGCTGACTATGTGTCCAGGGGCTGAGGAGAGACACTGGTTCCTGCTGCTTGTCTGAATACTGCTTGACCTGGGAGGACCAATGTCTGTTCCACCTTCTGGGTCTCCTGGCTGCCTGTGGGGTGTGTCATTGGGTTGAGGGGACAGACAACATGTCTCATGGCACAGAGTGTGATCCAGGAGCAAGGAACCAAGTGTCCTCAGAGGGACATTCCAAACAGAGGTCTTATCCCTATCTTGTGGGTTACAGGGGAGTGGGGAAAACTGGGCCAGAGTGGAAGAGAAAAGGAGGAGGTGTGCCTGGTTCACTCGATTTTTCTCTAAACCTCTTGCCAAAGCTGCTTAGTGAGATGGGAGGCTGGGGAGGGGGGTGCGTGGTGGAGAGAGGAGGAAAGGAGAGGGGGAGAGAGAGAGAGAGAGAGAGAGAATGAGCGTGTACTGACCCTGGGCTCCAGCTCTGGTGTTTGACCTAAAAAATCCAAGGGGATTAAGGATGAACTAGAACCAGCACTCGGCCAAAGATGCAATTCAGGAGGCCTTCCCTGGAGGCCTAGATGTCAAAGCTTGTTGGGCATTGGTCTTGGGAGGGGTGAGAGATTTTGGGGGGAATAGAGAGAGTGGAGGGGTCCTGGAAAATTTATGGTTGGGGGAGGAAGATAGAGCAGGGGAGAGGCAGAAAAGGGACTGGGTTTGGGGAAGGGAAAGAAAAACCAGGAGGGAGCTGAGATTTGGGGGAAAAAAGAGGCACAGGAAGGGGGAGAGAGAGATGAGCAGAGGCAGAAAGAAATGGGTGACACCAGCAGAGAAGGACCCCAGTGAGAGGGGACTAGTAGGTATTGGTTGAATGGATGACTGAACAGCATTCAGAGAGAGGAGGAAAGAAAAAATGTGACACTGTAAGAGGTGGAGGGAAGGAAAGGATGGGGAGAGAGAAGACAAAAGGGGGAAAGAGGAGGTGAGGGGGAGGGAAAGCAGAGGACAGATGAAGAGGACAAGAAATGGGGGATATCCAAACAGAACAGGAGAGATGGACAGAGAGGCAGACAGAGGGGTAAGAGGCAGAGAGAGGCAGAGGGGAGCAAGAGATGGGCAAGTCGGAAACAGAACGAGAAGGAGACACATACAGAATGACACTGAGACAGAGAAAACCAGTGAGACTGGGCAGGAGGGGGTGACAGAAATCCGAGGGGGGGCACGTGTGTGGAACATGGCTGGCCGGGCCCCCAAGTCCCGAGGGACGCCCTGACACCTGCCTCCCTCCCCACCCTCGCTCCTCCAACTGACCAGAGGGGGCAGGTGTGTAGGAAGAGATACATCTGCCAGCCCATAATGCAAATGAGCTCATGAATATGCAGCAGGCCCATTGTCTTGCCCTGCCCCCACCCCCATCTGCTCAGCCAGGCCCCTCGGGCTGGGGGCAACTCTGTCCTCTTAGGGGGAGGGGAGGCCCCCTCCCCACCACTGTCACTGTCCCTAGGGCAGACCTTCCCACCATCTAGGGCCCAGGTGGGAGGGAGAAAGGGAGAAAGGGCGGAGAGGCCTAGGGCAGAGACCTGGGCCGAGGCTCACCAGGGTAGAAGTCTTTGGACTTGGAGAGCTTGATGGTGGCTCCCGTCTCCTTCTGCAGCTGCACGATGGTCTGCCCGCCCTTGCCAATGATGGAGCCCGCCGCGTAGCTGGGGATCAGCACCTTCAGGAAGTATTCGCCTTCCTCTGCGGGGGCACACAGGGTGGAGGGAGTCAGTGGGAGAGGGACCTCCACCTTTAGGGGAGCAGAGGACACCCTAGGGGTCACAGTAACAGTATGAAGAATAATACAAATAATGGTCTTCATTCACTCATTCATTCATTCAACAAATAGTTACTGAGCACCTGCTCCATGCCTGGCACCGGTCTAGGGAAAGAGCCAAGAAGAAAATAGACAAAGCTCCCCGATTTGTGGGCAATGAGGCAAATAAGGCCGAAAGACTTAGTGATTCAGCCAAGAGCTCATACAGCTAGCTACATTCTTCTAGGTGGGAAAGACAGGCAGTATATTTCATGTCAAATGGTGGGACTCCTAATGACACAAAAAAAAAGGCAGAAAAAGGGGGTCAGGGAGGGTGGGAGGCTGCAGTGTCAGAGAGAGAGCCCAGGGAAGCTCTTGCTGAGAATGTGGAATGCTTTACTCATCATCACACAATTCTGCAGCACCTGACAGGTGCTACACTGTTCTAGGTACTTTCCAAATACTAGTCCTTTTAATTTTCACACTTATCCTATGAAGGAACCTATTATACAGATGAGGAAACAAAGGTGAAGAAATCACCCAAGGGCACTTGTAGGCAGCAGAGCTGAGAGATTTGAAGCCAACCTGGCTCCAGAGTCCATGCTCTGAACTATTATGATCACCAGGCTATGGAGGAAGGAATGGAACCACGTGGCTATGTGAAGGACAGGCAAGCGCAAAGGCCCTGGGGTGGGACAGTGCCTGGGGTGTTCCGGGGGGGGGTGAGGAGGACCCTGTGCCTGGGGCTGGATGAGAGAGGGGAAGAATGGGAGGAGATGGGGACAGAGAAGGGTTCTGGTAGGGAGGGGTGATGGGGCTCGCAGGCCACAGTGAGGTCCTTAACTTTTACTCCAAGTGAGATGGGAGCTATGGGAGGGATGTGACCTGACTTAAGTTTTAGGAGGAGTCCTCTGATGCCCATGAGGGGAGCAGACTATGAGAAGCAGCAGTGGGAGAGCTGGGGGCCCAGGGAGGTGGCGACTGCAATGGTCCAGGCCAAAGGTGATGGAGGTCTGACCAGTGGAAGCAGTGAGGGGGGAGGTGGAGGAAGGCCGGATGCTGGAGATGCTCCCAACACTCACTTTTGACCGGGCGCTGTGCTGAGTGCTTTGTGAGCTTGATCTTGTCCGTTCCTCACAACCTCCGGGTGAGGTGGGTAGAATGAGCTCCATTTTTACACAAGAGGAAACTGAGGTACAGAGGGGCACAGAGAAGTGAAGGCACCAGCCCACGGTCACCACCGGCCCAAGGACGCTAACACAGCTGCTGGGTTCGGACTCAAATCCAATTCTCATTCAGTCACCTCCCCTCGTTGCTTGACACCTTTCACTCCAGGAGACCAGCACGATGACGGACAGCCTCAAAAACCCAGATGCAGTACCAGTGGCGGCCTGTGGAGTTTTGGCCATTCTTTGTTATAGGCCAATTTTCCTTTTCTTTTCTTTTTTCCTGATGTGGGGTCTTGCTCTATTGCCAGGCTGGAGTGCAGTGGCATAAGCTCGACTCACTGCAGCCTCCGCCTCCTGGGTTCAAGCGATTTCCCTGCCTCAGGCCCCTGAGTAGCTGGGACTACAGGTGCCTGCCACCATACCAACCTAATTTTTGTATTTTTAGTAGAGATGGGGTTTCACTATTTTGGTCAGGCTGGTCTGGAACTCCTGATTTGAAGTGATCCACCCACCTCAGCCTTCCAAAGTGCTGGGATTACAGGCCTGAGCTACCGTGCCCAGCTGCTGTGTCCAGCTAATTTAAAAAAATGTTTTTAGCTGGGTGTGGTTGCTCACACCTGTAATCCCAGCATTTGGGAGGCCAAGGTGGGCGGATCACAAGATCAGGAGATAGAGACCATCCCCGCCAACGTGGTGAAACCCCGTCTCTACTAAAAATGCAAAAATTCGCCGGCTAGATACTTGCCTTGAGTCTACATTAACAAAATGCTTTACACATGGTCAGGAAAACTGGTTTATAATAGGCAAGGCTCAGTGGCTCACACCTGTAATCCCAGCACTTTGGGAGGAGGCTGAGGCAGGAGCATCGCTTGATCCCAGGAGTTCAAGGCCAGCCTGGGCAACATAGGGAGAGCCATCTCTACTAAAAAAAATTTTATATTTTTTGCAATGGAGTCTCACTCTGTCACCAGGCTGGAGTGCAATGGCACAATTTCAGCTCGCTGTAACCTCCACCTCCCAGGTTCATGCAATTCTCCTGCCTCAGCCTCCTGAGTAGCTGGGATTACAGGCATGTGCCACCACACCTGGCTAATTTTTTGTATTTAGTAGAGACAGGGTCTCACCATGTTGGTCAGGCTCATCTTGAACACCTGACCTCAGGTGATCCACCTACCTCGGCCTCCCAAAGTGCTGGGATTACAGGCGTGAGCCACCGGCCTCAGTGTACTTTTTGTTCCCTAAATGTTCCCTGCTTCCTCCCACCTTAGGGCCTTGGCGCATGCTCGCTCTGTGCCTGGCAGCCTCCCTTCCCCAGTCAATTTCTTTTGTCCTTTAGGTCCCCACTGAAATATTGCTTCTTTTTGGAAGATTTCCTTGAACCCCAAGGATGGGATGAATCCTCCTGTTTCACGCTTTCAGAGTAGCTGATCACAGAGGTCCACTGTGGACCACAACCGTAGAGCTCAGCCTTGTCCCAGGGACTTGAACAGTGTCCCAGAAACTTGAACAGCACATAGTAGGTTTGCAATAAGCACTGGGAAAAGAACAGGAGGAGTCAGGCCATCCTGCTTCCAAATCTTAAGGTCTTAAACCATCCCCCCAATGGTTTTTCAACTTTTTCTTTTAAGCAAAGGAAGACTATTTTTTCTTTCCCTTTTTTTTTTTTTTTTTTTTGAGA